TGTGTGTGTGTGTGTGTGGGGATGAGAGTTGGCAGAGGTGAGGATGAAGAGCGAGGAAAGCTCTTCATCTTTCAGAGAAGCTCACCGATGATCAGTGTTGTGCTAAAACAGACGTGTTTGTGTTCTCAGGGTGGTGACCTTGAAATCCAAATCAAAACCTCTATGAACTGAAATAACAAGCACATTAAGTAAACATCTCCTCCTGCAGAGTGTCCGTACCACAAACCTCTGGGCTTCGAGGCCGGATCGGTGAATCCAGACCAGATCACCTGCTCCAACCAGGACCAGTACACCGGCTGGTTCTCCTCATGGCTCCCCAGCAAGGCCCGGCTCAACACCCAGGGTTTCGGGTACGTCCGGGCTGACAGTTGTCCAATTCTTTACATTCACAGAAAGAAACTTTAGATATTGAAAATCTGAAAATCTTTGGAAAACCATTTATATCAACGTGCATTTTTATTCTATGACAGTGAAAACTGAGGTTGTCAAAACATATTTGTTTCCATTTTTAACTTAATATGTTGTTTTCACCAGAGATTGTTGACTGTTCTGAGCCTTTTCCATCTGGGAGCAACCGTGTTAGAGAAAACACATTATGCGAGATGCATTTGTTGAGGTGGACGTGTCAATATGCTCTGAATTAAAACATTAAATAGAAGAGTTCATAAACATACTAAATGAAACTGAGGAATTATGTTCAAAATAAAAGTTACATATTTTTAAGTGTAATGTTTTGAAACCACCAACAGACCTTGTGTTGTGCTTCAGCCTGGAAATGGAATCTACATCCCAGATTTTTCGTTAACTTATAATTTATAATGTATATATTTATTCAAAAAAAGGAAAAGAGTAACCATTGTGAGAATTAAAATGTAAATTAAATCTGCCTTTTGCTGTTGTCTTCCCCATTTTACACTTTAACTGTCAACAAATGCCCGAAAATATCTCAAACCTATGTCTGATAAATTGAAGCCTGACACCTGCTGCCAGTGTTACAGTCAGTTGTGTGTTTTGTCCTGCAGGTGCGCCTGGCTCTCCAAGTTCCAGGACAGCAATCAGTGGCTGCAGATCGACCTGAGGGAGGTGATGGTGGTGTCAGGGATCCTGACTCAGGGCCGCTGTGACGCTGAAGAGTGGATCACCAAGTACAGCGTTCAGTACCGCACGGACGAGAAGCTCAACTGGATCTATTACAAAGACCAGACAGGAAACAACAGGGTCAGTGGAACTCAGCACAACACTGGAGACATGAGGGAGATCTCAGACAACACTGCTGTTAACTTTGATCAAACTAATGATGTATTGGGTTCTCCTGTTAAAGATCATCACAGTGATTGGCCTGATAGCAAAGACATAATGAAATTAACAAGTTATTTTAAAATTTGTGTTAAAGACCACACACTCAAACAAATTTAATATCAGACATGTTTACATTTGAAGATTTGAAATATGTGACTAAAATCTATATTTTCATTTAGAATTTAACAACATATGTCTTCCAGAACAATGTCTTATTCTATCATCTACATTTTTATCTCATGTTGTAAAATCCTGGAATTCAAAATGAAAGTGCTGCAACCGTCAGTTGATCAACGGATTAGTTTATTGAACTAAACATTAAAAAGATATTTCAGTAATTTGCCAAATAGTTGGTGGTTGCCACTTTCTAATGGTTTTAATTGAATCTAGTCTTTTCATAGTTTTTGACAACTGGTCAGACAAAATGATCAGTTTGACGACATCACAATGACCTTTTGAAAAATTGTGACTGGCATTTTTCAAGTTGTCCATTCAGCTGATGTCGAAATTAATCATCATCCGGACCTCGCCCTTCTCTCTGTCCTCAGGTTTTTTATGGAAACTCTGACCGCTCCTCGTCTGTGCAGAATCTTTTGCGGCCGCCCATCGTGGCACGCTACATTCGCATCATCCCTCTCGGATGGCACACGCGCATTGCTCTGCGCCTGGAGCTGCTACTGTGCATGAACAAATGCATGTGAACGTCTGCTCCCATCGTTCCCCAAGGCCTTGTCCCAAAACTTCAACTTTACCCATAAAGCCTCATCATCAACGCGTACGACATCCATAGTTTTGACCCCCTTCCTCCAGCTACATGTAGAAAACCCACGTTCAGTTTAAAACCTTTTCAAAATGGGAGGAAAACAGTCGGACTTGTGTGATTTCATTCAAATGTCTGTTTGATATGCTCAATGAGCTTTCATTCTCCTCACTCCTCATTGTCTTTGTGGGACCCATCTCGCTCAGGGCTTTAATTTGGTGAATTCTCAATAGATTGTTTCATTTTCAATCAAATGGCATAAATTCAAAGCAATAATTAGGCATGATGAGGGAGAGGCAGCGTTGCTATGGAGGTTGTATCCACAGGTCTGAGACGAGCTCCTACAAAACAATTCTTTCCTTCTGTGACAGGTCGATGAATTTGTGTCTTGTTCTCCCTTTATTTAACGATAAACGGGAGTTTTCAGTTCTGCACCTCAGTCAGTTTCTCCACATGTTCCTGGTGATCCTGTGTTTTCCTATTTAACAAATCCCAGGAAAAGACCCCAAACCAATAATTAATTACTCTTTCTTAATTGTATTATATCGGCCTGGATTATATTTGTTATTCCCAGTCATTATGAAAACACATCAGTGAGCTGCAGTGACATGTTTCTTCATTACACGGGTGCTGTAGTTTATTTTCAGTCACTAACACGTACGCTGTCGTGCTGCTCTAAATACTGCGAGGCTCAGTGTGCATCAACTCTGTATTAATCTGCAGCTCAAAAAATAATCCCCAGCAAATGTAGTGTTTACGTCTGTTTGACTCGTGTTTGCTGAAAACTAGTCTCCAGCTGTTTCAGGAAATGATTTAGTCTTTTCTTTAAAGCTTTTCATCCTCAGTACAAGTAAGTGGTTTTGGAGCTGAAATCCAGGAAATACTGAGAAAACCATGAACACATTTATTTTTGTCTTCTCATAGGATTTACTGAAAAAAACAAAGTAATACCACATAGATTTTCTTTAAATATGTGTTTTGCTTCCTGTCTTCTCCTTTTTTTGTTTTTAAATCTCAGGCACTTTTTAAAATCAATTACTGTTAGGTGCTATATATATATATATATATATATATATATATATATATAAATATCAAGTGATGAGAAATTCACGAGTATTCAGACGTGGTTTTGTATCGTGGTTGTTCCTGATTTTGTTTTGTTGCCATTTCATTTAAATTTCCCATGGTGCTTTGAGAGCACACTTTGGGAAATTTCCTCGACTCTGATGATGTGTTCCTTACTGTATCTTTAATTTCCTGTTTCCTCAATTAAATAAAATACTCGTCTCACGTCTGTGTTCGTGTCGCTCTGTGCCACAAAACAAACACACGAGCCCATCAAAAATGTACAGTTGGCTTTTATTATGAGACCCTATAATTTTAAAGTAGAATGGTCAGTATAGATACACTCTATTATTTCTATTTACACCCTGTAAGAAGTGGGGAAAACTGCTAAATGAAATATAAAATAACTGATGTTTTATGAAACACATTCATATTTGTGAACAAAACTGTTTCTTGTGTCAGTTCTCGGCGTGTGTGACTCTCGGGGGGTTGAAGCCTCCATTTCCATCTTAAGAGCTAACGTAAGGCTTCAGGTCACCGGCAAGGCAAGCGTCGTCACCACTGTGTCCCATCAATGATTCAAACAAACCCACACGTTCGCAGTCATTTACAATCATTGGCAATCAGGATTTTTCCATAGTACGCAACACGGGGCACTTTCAGTTTCTTCCCTTTGCGTTTAAGGACAAATTGTAAATAAAATGTATTGCAGAGCGATGTTTAAGTAATTATACGTGAGCACTTCTCAAATCCTTTACTGAGCTATATTTGGCTCCGATTTAACTGCCACTGATTTGGGCCGGTACAATCTGCATCAGTCTGAGGCTCCTTCTCAACGTTATTGCTCTCAATCAGCCAAGTAGTCAATTGGTTCTTTTTTTTGACAGATTCAATTATTTATTTTATCCACGTGTTGAATTTTTGCACAAATGCATCCACCCGTCCTTCTTCCCTTGGTTCCCATCATCTGGGAGCAAAATGTTTCCTGCTTTTTTAATGCTTCCTTAGATGTGGAAGAGGGAAATGAAGGATAATAGGAGACTGGAAGAAAATCTGCGCCGTGTACTTTGCCTAGGCCACAAATAGTGATCTACATGACTCTGCGGGTCAGGAGGCCACAAGTAAATGCTTTTTATGAACAATCGAGTAAAATCATCCCTGATCATGATTATTGATGTTGCAAAGAAAAGTTGCGATGCAAAAACCAAAGTCAGATTCACAAAAAAGGCATTTACAGAAGCAATGTTTTCAAATTAACATAAAAAATATAAATAAAACAAAATAAAAAAACATTTCAAGTCTGGTGTTACTTCTTATAACTTTCAACAAGATTTCAAGCTTTTTTCTCTTATTTTCTTTTCAATCATCTGATGTTCCCTCAGGTTCATCATGACCTTGAACAATAGCATATTTGACAATTGGGATAATTCAGTATACAAGGAAATATCAGTTAATTTATTAAACTTAGGTTGGATTTTAAATCTTAAAATGTTATTTGTGCAGTATTGTTGTATGGTATTGAGTGTCTTTTCTCTCGTGGCGTATTTCACTATTAGTACAGATAAGTTTAATTGATAAAAAATTCTAAATTCATTCTTAAATCAGGTAATCACTGCGTTTTATTTAGCATTCAACATTAAATACTGTATTTGTTGGCTACTTTTCAGATTCCATTGGTATTAACAGGAGCAAACATGTGACTCAAAATAAAACCACTGATAAATTTGTGAGGATTTTGGAAAACAGAGCAATAAGCTCCACGGCGGATGACACACGTTTGAGGCCTGATTCAGTTTCAGTTAAATTTTTTATGGAATTTGTCACAATAACAAAAGTAAAGAATAGAACCAGACTTTCCCCTGAAGATCTTAAAGGTTGTACGTGAGGTGGTTTTTGCAGAACGCTCTCCCACAATATGAAAACACTGTTAGAGACAAACTTCTCATCAGGGCCGTGTGGTGAATACTTAGTGTTAAGGCTGGAGACAAAACCAACATGGCAGCACGGAGCTAAAATGACAATGACACTGAGAGTGAGAGGTAATGTGATGGGAATGTTTCTGTAAGTTCAGAGTCTAACAGTCTCACTCTGGCTCCTCTGCTACCAAACCCTTTGACAAATAGCCTGATGTGTCGCTTAACTCACAAAGTGATGTCATGAGGGTGATGAGCAGATTATAGATGATTTTTTGTTTTTTTTCACTTTGGGCAAAAAGTCTTTTTCAGTAATTCTTCATATTTTGATGAAAAAAAAAGGTTAAAAATAACATATAAGAAAATCTCTTAATAACATATCAAATCGAACAAAAAAAGACATTCACCATTATTAAATATTCCTTGTGACATATTGTATTATCAACACATAAATATCTATGCATTTCTTCATGTCGAAACTAAAGCTCTTGCAATTACACATTTAATTCTATATTACCTTATAATATTCCCATATAGCCTACATACTGTGTCATTTATAGCTTATATCCTTGAATAAAACAAATAAATATTCAATAAATAATGTTGATACAAATCTTTTGTTTTTGTTCTTATCAAATATCGGAGCTTGAAAAACAGAGCTTGAGTTCATTGGCCACGGTGCATCGGTGGCTGTCAGATGTGTTGTAGTAGCGTCCTGTGAGCAGGAGATGGCAGCAGAGAGGCCACAGGAGCAGGGTCTCCTTGACGGAAACATCAGATTATTACGTTTGAACCTTGTTCAGTAGAGAGACAATAACGTACAACTGATGCAGGGCTGACTTCCTGTGACGGAGCAGCCCTGTCCTGTCTCCTGGACGCCACCGCTGCCGCTGTCTGTGTTTGGCCGGTCAGCGTCTGGTCTGTGTAGGTTTCAGATACTGTGTTTCTGAATGAGGACTTGATCCAGTGAAATAGGCTTCATGTAAACTTTTACTACAGTACCACGATGTCTGCATTGACAGATGCTTTCAGGATGGAGCTATATTAGAGGTGGTGTGGTTTGGGAGGGTTTCTTTTTTAAAGCGCAGTCTCCTTCAGGTCGTTGAGGTTTGGCATCCTGTTACGGGAGGCTCGGGTAAACGTGGGTCCATTCTGCCCCGGTTTGATGCCCAACTGTTCCGGGGTGAACTGAGCGCCCTCCGCCCGCTGTAAAGCAGACACGTGCCAGCTGGACTCGATCTGTCCGGGGAGGGGGTAGCTGGGCTTGCGGCTCTTGGCCTGGGAGGTGCTGCTCACCCCGGAGTGCCCCCTGCTCTCCACGTGCCCTCGACCCTCGGGGTAGCCCGCTTTGGAGGAGGGCTGAGGCGGGTTGGAGAGGGGGGCTTGGAAGCGCAGGTCTTGAGGAGGAGGAGGAGGCTGTCCTTGATTTGAAGAAGAGGGGGACAGATGAAGGAGCCTGCGGAGGGACTTGAGTGGCTGGCTCTGGGAGGAGAGAAATCATTGTTGTGATTCCTACAGGTTTTTTGCAACAATTTCGATTTTTTAAACTGTTGCAAGGGCGGCAAGGTGGTGTGATAAAAAGGTTCCTCAGTGTGAATCTCACAATTTTCTCCAGCCACTACAGCTTCCTTCTACACTCTGCTTATCCTTTCAGAATCCTGAGGGGCTGGAGCCAATCCCAGCTGACATAGGGTGAGAGGCGGGGTATAGGTCACCATCGTCACAAGGCAGACATACAGAGACAAATAACTATTCACTCTCACATTCACATCTACAATCACTTTAGAATCTCAAATTAACCTCACACAGATTTCTTGTCTTTGGACTGTGGGAGGAAGCCAGAGAAAACCCACGCAGATAAAACAAACTAGGATTCAAACCAAGAACCTCCTTGCTGTGTGGCGACAGTGCTCACCACTGCTCCACCCTGCCGCCCTCAATTTCCACATTCTGCGTGTGATGAAATCATCGTAATCGAGGACATTTTGTTGTAAGACTTCTACGTACCTGTGAGTGCGAGTCCACTGGTTTCTCTTGTGGCCAATCACTGACTCTCTCTCTCTCCCTCCCTCTCTCTCTCTCCCTTTCTCTCTCTCTTTCTCTCTCACGTTCTCTCTCTCTCTCTCGGTCTCGGTCCCGGCTCTGTTCCCGCTCTCGGTCCCTGTCGCGGGATCTCTCGCGGTTTTTCCGTCGGCTGCTGTGATGAGAGGAGGACTTGGAGCCCCTCTGCAGCGACAGGTGTTCCTGTCCGATACCGGTGACCTAACATTGCAGAAACAAAACACGGGAACATGATTAGTTACTTATTTGAAGTAAATGTTATTCTCTCGTCTTTGAGTTTTCATCACACAACATGTCTCACTCAAATCACATCTCAAATCCTGGTGAGGTTCCTCATGCATCCCTCTGGCAGGACCGGACAAAGCACAAGGACTTGGTGATGGTGATTAGTGATGATGTTTTGTTCTCCCATGTCAAAGTGTGGTATGACAAACTATTATTCTCATTATCAATCAATATGTTGCTTGTTTTCTGATCAAGAAGTTAAGTGGACATCTTCTTTTTTCTCATCAACAAAGATTCAATTTATTCTAAAGGAAAAAAGGAAAAATTCATTTTGCAAAGCTAAAACTAACAAATATGTTTCTTTCATTTTTCTTGAGAACTGATTTAAAGCAACACAATGCGACTTCAAGTATCACTATGTAACTGAGCAACAGCGCCCTCTGCAGCAACAGGTGGTTAATTCTTCCTGAGTGGGGCTGTGGAGTTCCTCTCACTGAACCGAAACTAATGATTACCCATGATCCCTAGCTTCCAGAACCAGAAGAGCTGCAGCTGTAACAAATCAACCAAACTCTGTTTAGACTCAAGTGTTTCATATTTGTAGTTTCCTGGGTGAGTGTGGAAATACAAGCTGTCTTTTTTTTAAACTGATCTACAGCTCAGTATAACTCTTGAACTTAGAGGAACTGATTCGGACAAATGCAGCTGAGGCTATCAGTCAGTTCCACACTTCTCACAGGAGGATCACCAGACGATCAGGGTGAGGGGTGGAAATGAAAGCGAGAACCTATTCCACGTCAGCGTGACATCAAAGTCATTTCGAAGCTGCTGTTTTAAGGTGGAACAGTTTCATAGTGTTGCTTTAAAGGATGAATCAGTTATGAATTAAATAAGAAGAGGAACTTAAGAGATGCTTGGTGGACTGAGTCCCATCAGTTTTCAGTATTTGTGCTAAGCTAGGCTAACCAGGCTGCAGCGTCATATGTAATGGACAGACATGGGACCCTCTTGGGAAACTCTAAGAAAGAGAGGGAAGAAGCACACTGAAAAAAAAATCCTGAACTACTCTCTTAATCATCTCTTGTTTCAATGCTTGTATACAGCACAGAATGAAAATGTCTGTAGCTTGAGTTTGAACACGTGTTGGTTTGTGAGCTTATAGACGTGATACAGTGATATAATTGAAAGGGATGAGTCTGGACGTGCAGATGTGTCGGCCTCACAAACAGCACACACTGAGATATACGTCTCTTGTGACGCAGCGTGGATGCACTGGACATACATTATAGCAAGACAAAATGGATGCACAGACTGCGTGCAGCATTCGCCTCAAAACACATTTGAAATCCTTTCAACTCGGAATGTGTCTCGGTCGATCAATCGCGAAGAGTGAGAGGATTTCAAATCGGCTCGTTGTGGTGTGTGTGCGGAGTGAGTTCACATGCAGCTGTAGAGTTGAGGTTAGATTACTGGTGAGGCTGGGTAGGGCGCAGTAGGCTGGTGTTGTACCATGGGCGAGGCGACTACAGGTAGGACTTTGACAGCTGAGTTGTGCTTTAAGCTATTCTTAGAGCTAAAGAGGGGGAAAAGACTTTTCCTGATGCTGGGGTTCCTCCCGTCCTCCATGTCCGTCTGTGAAGCAGAAGATGCACAGCCACAACTCTCAACACAAACCTTGGACATAAACACAACAACAACTACAGCACCTGACCTTCATCCAGTTAAAGAAAAAACAATAACTACAGAAACAGAGAAAATAAATCAGTAACAGCATATATATTAATATCAGTTAAGATAAACAGGGATGAGAACAAATTGAGACCAGCATTGAAGAATAATCCTGTTTAATTACACCATGGACCTCATTTCGGTTTGTCTGTCTATGAGTATGAAAGTGCAAAAAAAACTCTTTAACTGATTTTCTTGGTGGAAGAGTATTTTAGGACAATATGCAATTACTGTACAGTAAAAAGTCTTCCTTTACACTTAATTAGAGAATGGATATTCAGTAGTTTAGCATTAAAAAAGTAATTACCATATGTTACACTGCTTTTCCAGTGGATGGCGCCCCTGTGTCATGGTTCTCTGGGAGCCCGCCAAATGTGTTGGGTTGATTATACAAACAACCAAGAGCCTACAAATAAAATCAGATCATTGTGCAAACGACAGTTGGTTAATATTTAACTAAAGAAAACCCCAAAGCAGTTTTCTGATACATATTCCTACTTTCTGACAGGAGTGAATGCAGGTAACAAAATGGATTCTCTCACCACAATCATAAATAATGGCTGTCAAGTTTGATAAAGAATAAAACAAGTATATCAGGGTCCATCAAACAGCTGTACAGACATCAATANTGTTGAAAGTTATGTTAACTGTGTTTCTTGGTCGGCTGCACTTCATTGTAGAAATCAACCTGGTGAGTCCAGTGTTATTATTTCCAGTGGACTGTATTTGAAGATGGATGATGTGTCTCCACTTCCTCCCACTAGCTTTTTGAAGCCAAAAAACCTGGATACAAACGCTGCCATCTTGCACATTTGGAGCCAGAGAGCGTGCAGTCGTGATCACAGTGAGGAGCAACAGTATTTATCACGTTCCACCCTGTTTTTATATTATAAAATAACTAATTAAAACCAAATTACTGGGGGAAAAACTTGAATATTCATCAGTGTGATAAGAACTAGTTTTTAGTTCAGTTCATGTTTTATCCACTTACATGGAGGAGGCGGGGTTTATTACCTATACCGTGTGTAATCGAGACACTGTCACGCTGTCCATCTTTAGATATAGTCTTTCTATTACCGATAGGAATGAAGGTAGAAACCATAGAAATAAGACCCATGAAGTCGTGAAGCAGAATCCCCCTTTAACGTGCTTGGTGGTGGTGATCAGTAAATAAAAAACTTTCAGTGTTGAGTATATGTAACAATAACGACACAAGATACTGATGCTGCAGAAAATCAGTGTCAGATGTACTGGTCTAAAAAAAGCCTTCAAAATGAAATATAAATATACGATGTAGAAGTAAAAAAAAAAGAAATGGATCCAAAGGAAATATTTTTATATGCGCTAAATAAATGACAGGTGAAGACTTAAGTGATCTTACTATTTGTGTCTTCTTCTTCTTCTTTTTAATGGCTCTGAAGAAGCCTTGTTTTTCCTTCTCTTTGACGGGCTCCGGAGGGTTCATGACCATCGCCTCTGCGGTGCTCCTACGAGGCAAATGTGGAAAATCGTCAAGTGACTCATGTTTGTAATTACGAGCTCAGGATTAAACGGTGACTTCGTTTCAGGTGTATATTACATCAGAGGTAACTGCTAGATGGATCATGTCACGAATAGAAGACGTATAGTATGAGAAAAGTCACGGGTCCTAGAATAACACAAGCAGCACCATGTGAGACCCGTAAATGATGATTGAATTATTCTCACTTTAAGATTTCAGTTTTCAGTCCAACAATAACTTTTCAAATGATTCACTTTCCAGCACAGTGAGAGACAATTGTGTATATTTGACAAAATATGCAATTTTATATAAGATGTGCGCTTTAATGGTTTATCAATAAACACTGCAAACATTGCTTCTTCTTCAACTGTCAACAAAAGGAACTAGAAATACTGCCCTGTGGTTGTATGCCCCCGATCCAAAGGTCGAAAACATGTTTTGTGGGGGCCAACCTTCAACCCTTGGTGACCAAATTCTAATCACTGCATCTGTGAGTCCAAGGGAACGTTTGTGCCAGTGTTGAAAATAATCTCTCCAGGTGTTCCTGAGATATCGCGTTCACAAGACGTGTGAATGGGCTACACCACAAAATGTGATTTGTGAGGTAACAGTGTCACAAAAATGAAAATAAGAATTGAACCATTTAATCTCAGTAATTTAGAGACTGTGACGTCTTTACAGCAGCAACACAAAATCATTTTTAGAGAATCTATGTTTAGTTTGTGTGCTGGGAAAATGTATTTGTCATGTTTTACAAAATAAAGTTTGGACCCTTGACAGCCGAAGTTGAACCAGTTACATCGAGAAAAAAACTCACCAGTCAAAAGCCGTCTGGCGTTTGGAGTGGTTGCCCATGACGACAGGGTCTCCGGGTACAACGGGGACGACTGGCCCTCGACTCTGGACAACGCCGTCGTGGAAAGAGGAGGAATTGTCTGGTCTTGGGGAAGGAACTGAAAAGAAACAAATTCTCTGTTTTTCTCTGTTTGACTGTGTCACCACCAGCAGGATGACATCTGTTTGTTTTACTGAAATAACTGTTTCGTGGACTGTCACTAAATTCGGTGCAGCCATCTGTGAACCCTCAGCTGAAATGTAATAAATTCATAATCTGCTGACTTTTCCTCTCGGGCTGTCACGGGGTCAAAGTTTCCCTTATCCAAAACTTCTATGATTGGTAGCAAACTGAATTGTGTCTTTTGTCTTCTGTATTATTCTCTTATATGTGTATTTTCATGTTCTATCTTATTTTATTTATTTTAAAGATCCCATATATATGTGTATCATTTAACAGCCCTAAAACCTTCTTAATGTATATATTGTGCTAATGAATGCTAAATAAAGGGCTCTAAAGTAAAGTGTTATGTCTGCAGATGCCTGTTTCTTACCTCGGTAGAAGCTGCCGACTCTCCGCGGCATGGACTCAGTGAAGATCATCCGGTTCTCCTTGGAAGAACCTCCATCTTCAACATGAGGGTCGTGGTACATACCCACCTAAGAAGCACACAGACAAGGTTCCTCGGTACCCGCAGCTTTGTGATTGGTCATCTCATCTAATCACTGATCATTAGCTGTCACATTCTTTACAGCCTCACATCACAACACATTCCAGCTTTTCAGTGAGGTTACATTTATACCAGCGACAACGTGCAGTGAAGCTGTTGAACCTGAGCAGAAACAGAAAGAAACCGCTGTGGAAACCAGCGGTCAGGAGAACTACTGTCAGTGTGCGGTGAACGTGTGGCGGGGAGGAGTTCAGGGGGTCGGACCTCGTTTTTAGAGCGCTGCGTATGAAAAGCAGCAGTGTTGTCCCTCGCAGAGTCTTTGATGGGGGCACAAGGGTGGCTCATGTCTTTAGGGGACGGCTCACTCTGTTGAGAAGACGGACAGACGCAGCGTGAAGCAGTGGCAATGAAAATGTGAGACACTGACACAAACACACACACCATCTCATTGTAAAACACCCACACTCACACAGTAAAGACAAAATTCACCCTCTGTCACGTTGTTCGATATTTTGAATAAGAGACATTATTATTTCTGTGTGTTCACATTGTTCATCAACCTGCCTCTTTCTCTTCCTCCCCTTCTTCAGTGTTTTCACACATTTTCTGGAATCATTTACAATCCCATGAAAATGATTGAATTCTGATGTAGGTAAAAACTGAAAGTGGCAATAATACATTTTTCAAAACTGGTGGCAGCAGTGCATTATGGTCTCTTGAGGCTTCTGTACTGTTGGCTGAGAAATCATCACGTTTAAAAATTAAGAAATAATCTCCATCACTCTCCGGCTGGCTGCACTGTTAACTCTGTATTTATCACATCTTGCTTCAATTTTGTTCTTCACTCCATCACTTTTAAACTTTGTTTATTTTATTTTATGATCCACTTTTAATTTGTAAAACCACAAATTTCATATTGTAGTTATTCATTTACCTGTTGATTTACATTTTTTCTTTAGTTTAAAAAGCATCTCAATCCTCCTTTAAAAAATCACATCTCAAATGGAACTTTTGTTTTGTACAGTGATAGTTTCAGTATTTTAGGGTGAATGTTTCTTTAACTACTCCACACTCTCAGGACGTGTGTGCCACTAACCCTCGTCATGTCATCGGTGCAGTCCTCTCTCGATGAGCTCACTGAGTGTCCGGTGAGGGTGGTGCGGTGCTGCAGCTGTGGGGAGAGGAGCTGCAGGCTGCTGGCTCTTGTCGGTATCACCTGCCCCGGAGCAGGCAAGCCCGCCATCCCACTCTCGACGCCGTGGGGCCGGTGGCGCTCCCTCCTCACGTACATGGAGTGGCGTTGGGGCCGCTGCTGAGAGGAGAAGGGGGAGGTGTAGCCCAGGCCGTAATGATAAGACTCGTGTGGGGAAGGCAGAGTGTGAGTGGAGGGCATCCCCGCTCCTCCTGGGTCTAAGAGCTCCGGAGCGCCGACATCCTCTGGAGAAGAGAGGAGAGATTTGAATTCACCTTTGAATCTATAAACTTTTTTTTGTGTGTATCTAAGATCTTCATATTGCTTTTTTGTCCAACAAAAACTAAAAAATATTAAATCTAAAACCATATTAGAAATATTAAAACAGCAAACCTCACCTCTGGTACAAACTGAACTCGTACACCTACCTGGTGTTAAAGGCTTATGTCTGGATTTGTGTCTGGAGGACGAGTCCAGCGTGCTGCTCTCCATGCGGACATTGCCGCTGCTACGAGAGGCAGGGCTGTGCCCGGATCGATCGCTGTGTCGGGCTGAGGGGCTGCCGGGCGGCCCCTGAGGACCTGAAGGGGCATTGAGGTCTAAGCAGCTGGCAGGGAAGAAGCGGGCACTGGGTCCTACTCCCGCTGTTGTGTTGGAGTTTGGGTCGTCTGGGTGGAGCCGACCATCGCTGAGGTTCCCAACAGATTTGGCATCGCTCAGCGCGCTGTGGCTCTTGGACAGGCTGAGATAAGATGCTGAACTTTTAGACGAGGAGGACATGGATCCGTGGGCAGAGTCGGCCATACTGTGGGAGTGTCGGCCATGTTGTTTCTCCGCTCCAGACTGCAGTGTGTTTGTCTTGCCATCCAAGAAGGTGTGGCGGCCGACCTGCTGCTGCTGCTGCTGCTGCTGCTGCTGCTGCTGAGAGCGAGACGAGCTGGGTTTGCTGTGGCCGTACTTTCCACCGTGCCCCTGGTCTGGCAGCTTTGGGGAGGGTCCCAAGCTGAAATCAAACTCAGTCTTTCCTTTAACTTCTTTGGGACTGAGGAGGTGTGGCAGGTTGTTGTTAGCCAGGTCTTTGTTGGATGAGGCAGAGCGATTGAGGGTCTGGGACATGTACTGGACCTTGGAGTGGAGTGTAGGACTCAAACTGGACGGGGCCGGTTTGTTGCCATTCAGGAAACTCTCATTGCCGAGGTGATGGAGGTCCCCGTGGCGAGGGAGGCTGGAGCACTCTTTACTGTTGGAGCGACGGCTTGAGCTCTTAGTGTGACTCCTGGAGGAGCAGTGGGAGGAAATTAGATAATACACTTGGGAGAGTTTGGACATCTGTCCTTGGACTGGTTACTATTTACACTTCCCCCAATAAACAAAAGACCTAGTCATCCTAGCCCTGGTATTTACCAAGAGGAAATTCAAAATGATCATAGCTAAATCACTGTAGTTGGAAGCTGTGACATGAAGAAATTCCCTATAGGCAGACTTGATATATCATGTTTCAAAAGGCCAAAAATATGTTTTGTGAGGCCACGAAGCTGAGGTCACAGTGAACTAAATCAAAATCAAATCAGGTCATCCATGAGTCAAGTGAATGCTTGTGCCAGATGTAATGAAATTCTATATGGTTGTTCCATGTAAGGTCATCTTGACCTTGACGTTTGAACTTTGAACATCAGTTCATCTGTGAGCACACATGAATAATTCTACCCATATTTCAAGACATTCCCTCAAGTGTTCCTGAGATAATGTATCAAAAGACCAGAAATGTGCTTTGTGAAGTCACAGCTTTAACCTTTCACAACTACATTTCGATCAGTTCATCTGTGAGTCGCAGTGAACATTTGGAGAAATTCACTCAGGGCGTTCACAAGAATGAGAGGGACGGACATTCTGAAAACATAATGCCTCTGACCACTGGTTGTTTCCCACGTGGAGGCATTAAAAAACAAATCATATCATTATAAAACCATATTCACACAGTGTATCATCTTTCCATATCATTCAGCCCTGGTTTACTGAGATGGATTTAAATTGAGATCACTGCAGATGCAAGCTGTCATATTAACTAAAAATAAAGGAATTCAGTCCAACCTGGTGGGGACTGTGTTCTCTCCATGATGGTGTGTTTTCCTCTTGGAGGAGCGCGGCGGGTTGGGAGATGCAGGAGGAGGCCTCTCTCTCTCCACCTGCCTCAGAGGCTGGAAGGCCGGATGGTTCAAACTCTGCTCCGTCAGAAAACGCTCGGTGGGGTTTAGCAGAAGCAGGTTCTGAAGAGAAAAGACACAAACAGGGAAGGAAACTGTTTTAGTGGCACGTGTTTATGTTTTTTTTAATATATATTAATAATTTACAAAGGTTTAAAGGTTTACTATGGACAGATTAGCTGGAGCTCTGTACTTCTTTGTATTTTACCTTCATCAGATCCAACATCAGACCACTCAAGATGCCTTGGTACCTTCTCTCCAGAGTCTGAGGATGAGTAACTGAGGGAAACTGGCACACACACACACACACACACACACACACACACACACACACACACACACACACACACACACACACACACACACACACACTTAAAATTCAAAATGAACTTGTTTTGCACTTTAAAATTACTATTAGGATTTCCAACATACAGTAGATGTTTGTGCCAGTAAACGCAACACACATCTGATTGAAAATCTATCACTGGCTCACACTAAACAATTTACAAAACACACACACACAGACACACACACGCAAAGTCTAGTTTGGCCGTCTGGGACATTTTCTCTTGCTGCTAAACTGAACACCAAACACCTAGCTCATGAGTCACAGCAATCCACTCAGTCATGGTGCTGGGAACGCTGCCACAACAGAGAGAGAGAGAAGGAAAGAAGGACACAAAGCTGGAGAGAGAAGGAGAGGAGGTAAAACAGAGGAGGAGGAGGAGTAGAGAGACGAAGACAAGGCAGAGAAAAGAAAAACACAAGCGATAACAGAGAGGATAGAAGAACGTACTTACCCTGATTCCATGAAATCGAGGGTTGTTGTAGAAGAGTTTCATTTGCTCTGCAGGGAGCGGACCCAAAACCTTCTGGATGGTGAAGAGCTGGAGATAAAATGGAGCATCATAGTTAAGCACGACATTAGAACTGACTGCATCCGTTCCCAGACAAAACTCTACTTCAGTGATATTTGTAACGATGGAAAAATTATTTTAATGATGCCCCGTTCATAATGCACACCTCGAGGCGAGTCTGACAGAAGGAATAAATAAATCAATAAACTCATGGTGGCTGAATGTTTACTTACATTTTGCTCATTGCTAAATTAAACAGTCAATTGGTTTTGGGGTTTTTTTGCCTTGAAAGGACAGAAAACTAATTAAAAAGCAAGTTAAAACTCAAAAAAGATTATTTTAAAAACATGATGTAAATAAATGCTTCCAATCCTCAGAGGTGAGAAGACCTACAGTTATTTGACAACTTATAACTCATATCATTACTCTTATTTAACGCTATTAAAATGTTTAATCCGCTACTTGTTTTATTACCAACCTGATCAATCTCACTTTCCCCAGGAAACAAGGGCTGTCCATCACTCAGCTCCCCGAGGATACACCCCACCGACCACATGTCCACGGCTTTTCCATAGGGAGCCCTGGGATGGACAGAAAGAGACGAAGAGACAAAATATCAACAGTGATGCTACACGATAATGGCTGTGGTGAAAATGAAACCACCAGGTTAAAAGGAAACCACAATGAAAATGATGGTAAAGGTCAGGACATTATCAGTGGTGGTGCTGCAATATAGAATAAAACAATAGATGCTGTATTTCTCATCAGAAAGATGGTCATTTCTGAGGGAACGGAGCTGAGGAGTCTGGTGAGAAATGGCGAGAGATCTGGCAGCAGAGAAGCAGAGGAGCAGTGGTGTTGGAGGGAGAGAGTATTTGAGTGGGTGGCATTCAAACGCTGTCTCAATAAATGTTCCAGGGCATTTACTAAATCAGGCTACAGCAGCGAGGCTACATGACGTTCAGCTGTCTCCAAGCGAGAATGGACATTTAGCAGCGAACTCAACATAAGCATTGAAAACAAGTGAGAATCTCAGGATGCAGTGAACACGTTCATGTCAGACGTCTGAAGCAGGTGAATCATCGACACTCGTTTGATGTGAAATCACACAATGAGGATGAAAACACACAAATTACACTAAGTACTTTCTGGGACTAGTAACACAAGTACAAAATGAATGTATCTCTTTCTAAATACTTTAATAGAGGAAAACAAACAGTACTTTATTTAACCCTTTTGTTATACTATGCTAGTACTCCATTACTTAACCTTTTAACTTTTTATTATTATTATTGAATTTAACTTGACTTCCTTATTGTTAAGTGACAGAAAATCAGTTATCCGGTATTTTAATAAAAGTTAAATCAATAAAAAAAACACTGACTCACCCCAGCAGCAGCTCAGGCGAGCGGTACCACCTCGTGGCCACATACTCTGTGTAGTTGGCGTCAGTTCCCTCCGACAGGTTACGAGCAAAACCTGAGCCAGAGCAATAAAAACATCACATAGACCTGATACTGAACATTATTGTCTGAATATTATGACTGAGATAATAACAGACAATCAACAGTCCTTCATGTAAAGCTATAAATGGCTAATTGGTGAGAATAAAGTTCAATCAAAAGTCAGATCAATTTGACAGCTACAATAACAGCATGTGACCAGACTCGCACTAGTTATGTCACTGCAGGCGGGTTGAGAATTCAGATAACTGGTGGATAGTGAGTTCATTTTAATCACAATAAACAGAACAACAGCTCTAACAGTGAATAACACAAGTCTCACCCCAGCTGACTCAGTGGGGTCACATTAGCCAATTATGCAAAGAGAAGTGACGGTTTGATTTTGAAGAAGAAGAACCATCTGAATATGAACTAAACACAAAACTATTCTGTATCAATACAATTCAGTCATATTTGTAGTTATATATATTTACTTTGAAGTAGGTTTCCTGTTGTGGAATAATTCTTATAACGACCACCAGAGTTCATGTTATACTGCTGCTCAGCTCCTTCCCGCTGACAGAACTGATCTTTCTAACAAGCTGCTTACAAGGTAACAAATTAGAGTTCCAAAGAATTCAAACAGGCCAAAATGAAATCACAGATTGAAAAATGATTTCACAGCATCCCAACAAATCCACACATGCAGGAGAACGTCAAAGTAAATCACAAGTAAAAGTTCAGTTGAGTCCTTTGAGCAAATTCCTTCATTTTTACAACTCGATGTGAACATGTGGAGCCGTTAAGATCGTAAACCAAACACTCACCGAAGTCACAGAGTTTGAGAACATCCTCAGAGCTGATGAGGAGGTTCTCAGGTTTGATATCTGCAACAGAGACACAAACGAAAGCTTGTTAAAGCAACACTATGTCACTTTTACTGAGCAGCATCGCCCTCCACAGACAAAAAACAAAGCATGTCAATCTCTTGAGCGGATATTACCCATGATCCCTTTTCATGAATTTGTGGAAAATCACGTAAAATATATGACTGCCTTTATCCTTTAAATATTCACTTTTTGTTTAACTGAAAATTGTATTCTCTCAAATGACCAGCAGAGGACGACTCTAATCGCTAAGTCAGTGGACTCAAATTTCAAGGTTCAAGTTTTCTATAATACAGCATGATGTAAATCATGTTTCTATTTAAAGTCCATTAGACGATAAAGCACGGGATGCATTTAGGCGTGGATATTGTGTGAATGACAACTCGCATCATCCAATGGATGCAGGTCGCAGGTATAGGTGGGTGTGCAAGTCCTCGAGCTCTCCTCCAAATATAGTCTCTTCTGGTTATAAAAAACCAAGATGGCGCTGGCCAACATGCCAGATGCCAGGCTTCGACCCTGCATTTCACAAACCACTGGGTGTTTGGGATATTTTTTGCAGTACAGGAAGATAAAGACAGGAAAAAAGAATAAACTTCTCACCTCTGTGTACTATCTCATTCTTGTGACACCAGTTGATGGCTTTGATGAGCTGGTAGATGTAGCTGCGGACTTTGTCTGGCGCTGCTCCGTTGGGCAGTTCTTCTAAGAGCTCCAGCATGTTCTGCAAAGCAACGACAATTTCACCTCTAAAGAGCGAGACAGGATGTGTGGTGCAGCTTCAGCTACTTGAAATGTTGAAAGTGTGCTTTCGTTTTCAAGTATTTCCTAAATCATCCTCAGAGTGGGGGATTCCTCTCCCTGGTCTTGGTGTTTTAACCCTGACAGGGCATCGAGTGGGGACACCTTTGCTAAAATGATTCGAGTACAGCATGAAAATAAAGCCTGTCATGAAATAAACACTTGGCTGGATACCCTGGCAACACAGTGGGGAATACCATTATTCACCAACAGCATAGTTCATATGTTGCCATGGTGATGCTTTTTTATGTTTAACTGAGCAGCCTCACCGTCCTGAAACTTAGAGTCGATACAGCAGAATAGCAATGTGAGAATGAATGTGTGCACAGTGAAATAAAAACGATAGCGTCGTTCAGCTGACCCTCTCCACATATTCAAAGACCAGGTAGAGTTTCCCCCTCCTGCGAAAGGCCTCCTTGAGTTCCACAATGTTGTCCTGCTTCAGTGTCCGAAGCATCTTCAGCTCCCGAAGAGTCGTCTCCTTGACCTCCTCATTTTCTGTACGCAAATCAAAGAGACAGCGGTGATACGGCTGTTCACCTCCTCCTCTTCTCCCTCCTCCTCCTCTCCCTCCTCCTCCTCTCCCTTCACTCACCTTCACTGTCTTTGAACTTCTTAATGGCCACCAGCTCATTGGTTTCCTGCGGAGATGTGAGAACGTGATTTGGGTTAAGACAAAAGAAAACAACTTACAGTGTCGAACAAAGGTTTCAGCGACTTTCTAAAACATACAGAAAGATAAATAGAACATAAAGATCAGAGCAGAAGTAAGAAATAGGGATAATTTGAGATATAAAGTGATATTTAAATTGATTTCCTGCCCACTCTGAAGATAAAACAAGCCATGGCAGCGCTCTCATTTGAATTATTTTACCACAGGGCGCTTGCACACAAAGAAACAGCACATCCTCAGCGTAGTTAGTAAGGATCAGATTACTTGATTGACCTTGCAGAAGCTGATGTGGCTGCAGATTCAGAGATTTACCATACCTTTGTTTCAAAGTCCATGTGCATGCTACAGATTTAACATCAAGTGTGCACTTTGACTGGAAAACAACAGAAGGCTCGGCTCTGTTTCTGACCTCATTGTTCAACTGTGAATACAGAAAGTTCAGGAGAAGCTTCAGTTTTGAGAAAGTGGCGATTTTGTCTTTCACAAAGTTTTAAACCCAGATCAGGATCTTCAAATTTTTTTGTTCTTAAAAAACAGATCTGTCCACAAACAAAGTAATCACACAAACGATTTATAGGTTTTAGCTTACATTTGAATTTTCATAATCCAAACTGAAATCTATAGAGAAATATCAGGTTCTATAGTCTGAGCTTCCTTTACGGAGACAGAGATGTAGGTTTTGAAGGCTTAAATTATCTCCACACTGGACTGTGCTCAACCGTTTGTGAGAAGCGAAATTAAAAACTGGAATATTGTCAAAATAATAGCAACTGCAGGGATGGACTGATGATGGGAATGTTCATCCCATGTCTCAGGTACAGAATCTATTTCACATGTAGCAGCCGGCTCAAAGTCCTGGACTTTGATGTTGTGGATGTTTTTTTGTTTTTGAGTAAAGAATATCTGGGTTAGGTCGAGATTACACCGTGTTTACAGCTTTTTAATGAGCAGTGTAAAGGTTTGTGGGGATATAGTCCTTGATAAATGAGGACAGAGGCTCTGGGGTTCGGATGTAAAATGCATCATATTGATGAGAGTCATTCACGGGTGTGCAATATAATATATATATATTTAATTAAAGCTGCTCTTTTCTTGCACCACTTACCACAACTATTTTATTTCTTTACACTAAATTAAAGTTGTTTTCTTCTCAAGTACAACTACTATGTACATTTCAATTTGAATTTATTTATATTAATAATACTACTCTATTATCAATATTGTGACTTTCTCCTCAATTATGACTTTCCTCTCATAATCTTACACTTTCTTTTCACTAACAACTTCGTTTTTAAAATGTTATGACATTATTCTCAGATATTTTTCACAAATATGGCCCAAATACTCCTTTGCACAAAAAATACATTGAAAAGAGTCATTGTATTGTTTCCTGTAAGCTGCACATTCTTTTTTAAATCCTGGCAAAATGTGCATACATTTGCTATCATGACATTGTTTTCCCTTAATGCTGGATCCTGAGGCTTAAAATGGTGAAGACAATGGTCCAGAGGAAATAACAACAGGCCAGTCTCTGTCTCCTTCGCTCTATTGTACCGCTGTTTATGGAGGGTCAGAGAACAGACCGGGCCGCACGACGAGGAGCTGCTCGTCACAAGCAGCGCTCTCACTCACACAAGCCGATTGTCTGCGTGAACGCACTGTTTTTTAATCCATCGATGTTTGTTTCAAGATTTTCACAAGAGTCAATGAAACCAAACAACATGGATTCACAGCTCCAGCAGCACTTAATCCTGAGAGAACTGTTTCAGTTTGTATATCTGAATAACGAACCGGCACATTAACTGTTCACCAGTAACATACATGCCAACACATGTGATAAATCCAGCTCTGAGGCTGCACTTTGCAACGTGCTGAGGATGCTTGTGCTCGTGTGAGGTGTCTCTGACCTCCACTCATTTACCTTTTGAGCCACTGTTAAGTCAGCACAGCTTAAAATAGCATCAGGGTCGTTCATTTCCTGCTGATGTCATGAACGGGTCCTGATCACCTCATTGCACAAAAGTATACATCTTGAATGCTTCACTTGTTTCCACAGGAATCAGCCATGACTGCAATAATAAATACAAATGGCAGATGATGATGCTGGAGTTTGTTTGTCAGTTTGAGGACAGTGAGGCTTTTTGAGCATGTAAACCTTTTCAAGTGACGAGAAAGGCTCTCGGCAGAATGCATCAACCAACCAACCAACCGACCAGCCAACCAATCAACCAATCAACCAATCAACCAATCAACAAATCAACCAACCAATCAACCAGCCAACCAACCAACCAACCAGCCGACCAATCAACCAATCAACCAATCAACCAACCAATCAACCAATCAACCAGCCAACCAATCGACCAACCACCCACCCATACAAACAAACACAGATATAAACATAACCTTCTTGCTGGCAGAGATAGTTACACAGATTGTTCCAGAAAGCATTTGGATGAAGTTACTGTTGCCAAATGAATTATTGATCCATTACTAAATCCAAGAGTTCTTATTTTTCCACCAGCTGTGTGAACATTTGCAGGATATTTAATAATAGAGACACACAATATAAGAATTGTGTTTTTAGTGTAAGCACATTGTGATCACTTCCCCCGTGGGGTTCACTTCTTTATATCTTGCCAATGTATAGCCAACACAGACTAGTGTTAATTAATTAACCTGCCAGCACTACAATGCTGCATAGAAATACTGTATACGCACCAGGAAACACTGGCTAGCATGAAGGTTGTGCTATTGTCACTCCTGAAACACAAATTCAAGATAACACATTAGCCTCCATATACACACCCACATACGCTAATACAACACTTGAATAAAGTGGCAGAACAAACGCTGGCACAAATTCACTCGACTAATTAAATGTTCCATCTAATACGTAATGTACTGTACTGGACGATGTACATAATTTACACTGGGAAACGATTAAAAAGCGTTTAGTTTCTTCATAGTAGAAATCGATCGTCTGGCTGGGGTAAAGCCCAGCGCTCCGTCCTCCCTCTGATTTCCTCAGGTCTGCTGGACTCCTAACAGGGTGACCCATTTACCAAGAGAGGCTCCATGTTCAATACTACCCTCTCTATCTCGTCCTCTCCACACACACTCACTGCCTCACTAATACACACACACACACACACACACACACACACACACACACACACACACGGTGCTTGTCTCTCTCTCTCCCTCTGCCACCCTGTTCTCCTTTGCCCTGCTTCCAGCTGAGAAAAGTAAAAATAACTGCTCTCTTGCAGTAAAACTAAAAAGCTTTTATTGCCGTGGTCTGAGTCTGTGAAAAAATTCCCTACAATGTTATCTAAGTGTGAAACATGTCACATGTCACTTTTAGTAACTTCCTGCTTTGAAACACTAATCGTCTGTTTAACAAAGCGACGCTAAGACTGTTGATATACATTTTTTTATGAAACTGAGATTTGAGTTGGTGAGAATTTTGTTTTTACAGCATCTAAGCACGAAAATGAAAACTTGGATTTACATCAATGTAAAAAGAACCATGAATGACAAATGCCATCTTTGAGAAAAATGTATTTGACATGTGCTTTGACTTTTAATTCCTTCTATGTCCCATCTACTAACATAGATGTTCGTAGACTTTTTAAATGCTGTAAAGTCATTGTACACAGTCTATGTTATTAGCACTGAGTATAATGGTAGAAACTCTATATATATATATACAGTATATATATTATTCATATAGCTTTTTTTCACTAATCTTTAACAGATTTGTCCAGATAGGAATATACTGAATATAGACAGTTGTAGTGCTCCAGGTTTTTTGTTATTTCATTTCGTTTTTTCATATTTTATATAGAGTTGTTTTACTTGTCGGTTCCCTCGCTGAGGTTCTTTGCTTTTATTTTTCAGGAAGTGGTTGAACAAGATGACGTCTCTGCTTGAGACAGAGTAGACGTCCTCATCAATAACTACAATCCTCTGTCTCACTCTCTCTCTGTCTCCCACCTCCCCCCGTCTCCCCAAAATAACCTTTATTAGTTACCTATTTCAAACAACAATAATCATGTCAAGTAATTTACGAAAAGCATCCCCATATTTTCAAGACCTTTGTGGAGGCTTAGCCAGCGAGACACCAGCTACCCACTGACCCTGCGAACCAGCGAGCTCTGTGTTTAAACAGATTAGTCATCTGCGCAGGTAGCCGTGGTTAACTCTGCAAACATCAAAAGATTCTGACGCCCCTCTGTCCCCAATACCATTTCTGCCGCATCGCTCTCACAAATGCATCACTTAACAAAAGACCTGAGTCAGAGCACAAACACAGAAATGTGTCAACTGATCTCCACATTCACTCTGTTGCATTTAGATATTTAACAAATACTGATGCAGCTGCTCCAGTGTGGATTTTACCTGCCTCTGTCGAGCTGCACCTTCCTCTCTAACCTTCACGTTCTGCTAACCGTGTCACTTTGCACATGCCTCCAGAATGCAAGCGTTTGCATGTTTAGAATTTTCACTCAATGTATATAATTCATGGCGCTATTGAAATTTTCATGAAGCGTAGCTTTGAAAGAACTTGGTGTTCGAGGGACACGTTTGGGGGCTGAAATGAAAGAAACATGCACAAGTGGAACATACAGGACAGACACTAAGCACCACAGGTAAAGAATAACCTGATATTCTAAAACATAGATTTTGACTGACTGTAGTTTATTTCCTGCTTAGTCTCTCAAACAACATGTGCAGTAATAAGCTTGATTTGTTTTGGATCTTCGAACTAAATCTCTTAATATTTCATTTTCACATAAAACTGCAAAAAAAACAAAAACCATGACACAGACGGATTATTTTTCTGACACATTGGAATATTGCAGCAGCATTAAACATTTAAATATGTGTTTCCACTTCTTACTGAACGCTCTCTCTCTCCACCTACAGTAGTTCTCGCTCGCTCTCATGTGCGGGGTTAGGTGTTTTTCACAAATATATCATTTTCATAGATGTGCTGACAGATGGACTAATGTAAAATTAGACTCAAAACCAAAGCAGAACATGTTGCCTTATTAACACAGATGAATCTTTACTACACATCTTTTTTATTAATGTAGCTGTTTGATTCAGTTCAGTAAAAGTTTCCACAGGTGATTCAAAAGTGAAAGGTCTATTTTCTGGATATTTATTATATATAAACATGTGAATCTATAGAATAAGACTCAGTCATGTGTCACACAGAGGATTTTCTTAATACATTAAGCAAAACTAAAGGTTATCATTGTTAAATATGGAAAATGTAAGATGTAACATTTCTATTACAATTTAACCAAAACTACAATATTTCTGGATTCCTGAACTTAATACACTCACCATACTCCAAGACCTGCTCCCCACAACCTGGCTGTGATGCACTTTGAACAAAAGCAATTTCTTCTCCCCTCTAAACAAACTAATTTATAAGGATAATTTCTGTTTGTATGTTTAGAAACCAATTAATGCATTGAGATATAAAATATTTTCATGTCTTCTTTTCTTGGATGCAAACAACCTTTAGCAGAACGTCTGATGTCTGACATTTTTATAAAACGAAAAAAAGTCTAATACAAAGGTGCTCGATGGAAGTTCAACATTTTCGTTCTTATGCTGACATCAGATAAATGGATCCCTTTTCATTTTTGTTTCAGCAGGACTAAATGTAGAAATAGCTCTTTTTTTTTGTAGCTGCTGTGACTTCTCACAGTATCATCCCAGGAATAGGCTCCTAAAATTGCCTTTACTGACAATTTCCAATTGAACTTCTTCAGACAAAGAAGACTGGGAGAACTCTCTGCTCTGGATAAAGTGAACTCACAAGACTCTCCCTCTTACACTGAGACAGAACTGGAAATTGAAGCGTTAAAATAAAATATCACATTTCCTCAAAAACGCAGTTCCTTGAATACTTCTCTCCAACATCCAAAATATCTCTGCAACAAATTACATGTGATTATTTAGAATTTGTGTATCTGGGGTTATAATGACAACATCTGTACATTGATGATTTATTTGGGATCTTGACCCAAAAAGGCCCCTGATTTCTTACCTGCATTTGATTCACCACTATTTCTAATGTTATGGTTGACCATTAGTGATGATATTTGCTGCTGGTGGAAAAACAAACCAAACCAGGGAATAAATTAGACTTTTACTTATAATCAAAAACACTTCCAGGTACAGACAGTTCCTCAACAGATTCTTTTTCACCTCTGATGTCCTAATTTATGTATTTTATCAAGCACAGAGTGGATTCGTATGTAAACTGTGTCAAACACGATGCTTTGATAAATTATGAGAAAGGCTGATTGTTGATGGGTCACCTTCACAGAACCTGTCGCTCTCATTGAGATTAAACTCTTAACGTCACTTTAATAATGGAGGCCTGAATACAGGTGCTAATAATATTTGCAGTAATCTACACTTAACCCCATTCCTCTCGCATCAAACCAGGACACATGTTTCATTAACTCCGTTGATGGATTTAGACATTGGACCAGGATCCTCAGCAACAACCACATCACGTTTAAAGTCAATCAGACAAGCGGTTGACAAGAAAATCAAAGGATCACGTGACTGACAGAAGTTATAATATTGGTCAATTCTTACGAGTTTCCCCATTTTCTGTTTCAAAATGAATTGAACTGTATCTGTTGTGTCATCAGGCGAGGCAGTTTTGTTATAAACCAGCTTTCGTACACAGAGGTAGAGTCAAGGTGCTGTACAGGAACATTTAAGATAAACAACACACAGACGTCAGTTGATCGGGGGGGAATTTACAGACAGTAAATGTCACCACCACATAAAGACTTTACATAAATGTGCATGATTTCCATTATTTTACCTAGTTCTCATAAAACTGATGCATTTCCCTGTTCTTTTTCCGGTGGGTTTGGTTTTAATAAGATATTTGATGCTTTAAAAACGGGATGAAATGTCATGATTGGCAGCTGAGACTGACTCACAGTTAGTCACAAATAGGCCTCCCTCCCGCCGTGTTAATCCTTCAGACTTCTGAGATAGTTTGGCTGATTTTTAAAGCTTTTTATTTTTGTCTATGCCTCAAAACTTTTTAAAAAGCCAATTTTTCTTTTTTTTTTCTAATAATCCCTCCATGAAAATGCAACAGGACACGGAGAATTCATAATGCAACATTGCAAAACCAAAAATATTTTCATACAAGTGACATTAAGACTTACAGAGAGGAGAAATGCTGTCTTACCTTATGTCTGCACTTAAGCACCACTCCATACGCTCCTGCACGAGGAGAAAAAGAGAGAAATCACATCACTTCCTGTAAATACTTAAGATAATACTCCCAAATTATATTGTGTGTTGTTTATTGTGAGTATGATTTGCCTTACTAATAAGAAAAACTACTTAAAAACTTTAAATCTACAATTATTTCACTGCAGTCCTCTGTGTCTGTAACATTTTGATTAAACTGTGCTGACAAGCACTGATGTATATTTGATCACAGTTAGTGAGAATTATCAACAGTACAATAAGCACTGGGTTCCTCTGTCGTCTCACATTAGAGTGAAGCAGACGTCCGTGTCAGTGCAACTCACTGGAATCAGCCTCAAGTGATGCAGCTGACTGACAGAAATAATGTGGACAAAGTTTAATGTGTGACACACATTTGTAAAATATCCGAGACTCATATCTGAGACTCTTTTGATCGACCAACCTTTCACTCTTATGCAAAACACACTTACACAGATGTACACGGATATAACAGAAACAGGCTGATGGAAAATCTAGATGTTTTTCTGCAAAAGTAAAAGACACATTATGAGTGGATAAATATTCTGGAGAAATATCAAAATCCTTTCTCTAAAAAATAACTTTTCATTATTTTCAAAGTAGTCTTGAAAAATATAGACATAATAAAAATTGTCCACCTTGTCTGGTGAAAACAGATATCTCCAGATACGGTTGTTTTCATAGTTTTAGATGAGTCATCCAAATTATTAATAATAACTTGAATTTATATTACGTCTTTTAAGAGACCCAAGGATAATTATTTAAGGGACCAATTTCCTTCCCACAAATCCACTTATCTCATCTGATGTTTTCTAATCTGCCACTGCTGTGGGTTCATATGTTGCTAGTTTTGAGAAGAAATATTTGTTTTAGGATTAAAAGAAATAAAGGTCTGTTGGTCCAAAATGTGAAAGGAGCAGTTCTCTCTGCTGCTCGATTCTTTTACTTGTGCTTGTGCAGCTGATAATTCACCTTAGTCTGCATTTCCACAGCACCAGTTCTCCTCAAACTCACCTCTCTGGTGATGTGAGTTTCTCTTTTCAGCCCAAATACTGTTTTAATTCACTAATTAATTCTGCTCTGTCCTTTTCAAGCATGGTAAAGTTACACTTCGACACGTCCAGCAGATTAAGAGCCTGACGGGATGAGGATGGATAATGATCTTTGAGCAGCTGGAAGTCCTCACATTTTTTTTTAATGTGAAACACCAATGCAGGAATTTACAGTAACGTGACCACAGTTGATAAAAATGTCTAATGGAAGCAATTGGAAAAAATTGGAGGGTAAAATGAGTGTCCCTGTTTGAGACACCGGAGAGATATATATGATGAAATGAATCAGGGAACAGGGAGGCTTGTTACTAAAGCCTGATTTATAAAGCAGAGAGATACAGGAACAAAGATCTGGCTTAAGTTGTTTACAGTGGAACACACAGGAAACAGGACATGACATATAAATTCCACTTCACATCGAAAGTGGTGGGAGAACAATCTCCTGACTTGACTGTAATGTTTGTTTTTGCGTTGGCTACAAGCTCCAAGCATTTGTAATGAACTCAGAAAACACTGCAGAGGTGAAAACTAAACGACAAAAGCCACATGACGGAAACACAACCACAACAGAGGTGAGCCGCAACCGCTGCTGATGATGACACTAGCAGAGTTACTGCGACACGTGAGCAATCGTTTATGAAAAACCGGACAAATCAAGTCACCGCTGTTACTGCTGTGTTTTCTGAAAACACATCGGGGTCTGTCAGACATTTATTTATTTACTACAGAGCTGGCAGGAAACGTTCCAGAAAATGTCTGCAGCAAATGACTTGGACATTTGCGTTCTCACATGCAGCCTTTCAGGAAAATGCAGAGACATCAGAGCAGCTTGATAAAACCCTGCTTCAGATAAGGGTCTGCTCTTCAGTTTCAGCGAACAATCTTCTCCAGCTTATCAGCCTCACGTTTACAATCCGTCTGTGTTGTTTCAAAAATGTGATGTGTGCATGTCAGCTGTTCAATGTAATCTGAGCCATGAGCTCGTGGCCCTGATCTCCAGGACCAGATTTGTAGGTTGACAAACATGCACTAGAATCTGCTGCATAAAAACCACCCACCTTCTCCCACAATGCCAAGGACTTCAAACTTATTCATCACATCACCGAGGGTGGGGACTCCTCCAGCGGGTGAAACGAGCTGCTCGGGTTTTAGCGAGGAGACTCCAGCTTTGACTGGCGGCTGACGGAGGGAACTGTAGAGCCCAGGAGAAACGTAACCTGACCGCACCCCATCTTCTTCTTCTTTGCCCTTTTTATGTCACTTTCTTTTATTTATGGATCTTTCTCCAGTTGTTTTAGTCGTCTATGAACTCCCTTCATTCCATGACCTGAGGTTGTGCGTGATGTTCTGAGGTTTCTTTACAAACCTCTTAACGATCGTACCTGGAAGATGGGAGACAAAACGGAAAAACAAGGTTTTAAAATATGTCGTCAAAGGGTCACTCCAAGCTCAAACTTCCCATCATTCCTTGCACAGGGGGTTTATTCCTGGCACAGATGGTAGCTAACTAGGGCATGTACAGTACAGAAAGGCATTTCCTTCAGGACACATTTAAATCATGGATGACTTATGCATGACTTCCACACACTCTTTCTATCCCTTCTACTCCAGACAGCCGCACATTCAACCTGGAGGATGCTGCGGGAATGACTGGAGTGAATATATAATGACTGGCAGCAGCAGCAGCGTGAAGTCATGCCCGCTTTGTGGCTCCAGAGTAATTGGTCAGAATAATAAATGTCGGTCCAATCTGAAAAGTCTCAACAACTAATGGACACCATGACATTTCCAGCAGGATCAGTCTCATTCTTCCTCTATCGACACCATTTTGAGCCATGATCAGACCTGAACTCCAGAAGATATCGGGACATTAGGATTCAAACTTTATTCTGATTTTGCCTTTCATACATGCAGAACGCAGCGGGAGATTCACCAGACGTGTTCATAACAACAGGAAAATCTGCTCAGTGTTCGGGTGAGGAGTGGTGTCTCCCAGCCTCTAACACCAAAAGCTCTAGAATCTCATCTTTGCCCTCCTCTACTTCTACTTCTTGTATATTTCCTCTTTTTCATTCGGAGTTATTTGAATTCATTTTATTTCATTTTTAGTTTTGCATCCCTCTCATCTTAGAAACGTTAACGACCCGCCCACTCACTGAGAAACCCCACTGAAAATCCTATTCGCAGGGGCTCACTCGGACGTTCTCCAGAGTTTTTACCTGAGGGGTTGGCAGGAAAAACTCCACTGAATGTCCAGAGCAACTGACTCAGATGTTTGTGTTCTCACATACAGCCCCTCTGGACAATTTCAGGAGAATATCCAGAGTTCAGTCCTTGTGTTAAAGCAGCTTTATTGAAAGGTCTCAAGAGCCTTTGGATGGATCGCTTTGAAATTTGTTACAGATATCCATCAATCCAAGTCTGCCAACTTTAGTAATGCACTGACTTTTGTTTCAGGCCCACCAGTAAAATATCTCAGCATCTCCTGGATGGGCTGGCACAATGTTTAGTGCAAATACATTCATGGTTCTCACAAGATGCATCCGACTGATTTTGGTCATCCCCTGACTTCTGATTCTGACTTTTATGGTTTTTAGTGAAATGACTATGAAAACTATCAGATTAACTGCCATGAAATGTGGTACCGACGTTTCCACTGACTTATGATTTACAGTATAACACCATCATCAGGACAGAATTGTGCATATTTTTATACTCAGTGATGAAATATTTTGTTTTAAGCATAAAAAAGGAGCAATCGTATCAAAAGCCTTAAATCTCCGCCTGTCACAAATCCAAAAACCGTCCATGATTATTAAAATGCCTCTTTTCTATTGTGGATGCTGTTGGAGTGGAACCATCAAAGCTCCTCGCATATCAGTCCAACTTCATTTGTGTAACACTTGATTTATTCAGAGGTGCAAAAAACACTTTAATGTTGATTTGGCTCATGTGTCTGAGTGGGCGTTTTCCAATGCAGCGTACACTCCACACTGCTCTTTCCAGGGGGAGAGATAAGGTGGATGTTGAGGCCATCCATGACTAGTCATCTAAGGATGTGATGCTGCAACTGGGGAGTGATTGGATCCACAATGTATCACAAATGCCCCCCACCCCTAAAAGCCTGCAAATGGAGAAAACTGAGGGATCCATTGTAAATGGGTGCAGAACAGAGGCAGTTTTATTGATACGCTGCAGCTGGTAAATGGAAACAACGTGGAAACAGATCTGGGAAAGTCCTGAGATCAGTGACAGGAAGGACTGAGGCGGGTGTTGCAACATGCCCCTACTGGTGTCATGCAGAAAGCCAGGGGGAGGTGGGGGGGGGGTAAGTGAGTTTGGGAGTGTGAATTTAACAGGCAGGAACGTGCGCAGGCGTGCGTGTGGGTATTCGTGCGCGTGTAGGAATGGGGTGAGAGAGCAAGACACACACACAGAGAGAGAGAGAGAGAGAGAGGGTAGTAATGCTGCGCTTTCTGCACCGAAACTGCGTCTCTCTCATCGCTGCGTTGCGGTGCGCACCAGCAATCCACCGCTTTCCACGCGTTTGCCAGCCTACACAGCAACCAGTGCATACATTATAACGTAGTCCACGCACCGTGTTCACGACAGTGTTGCACAACAACATCCACGAATAGCGTTTACCCACAAACACACATTTGGACGTGATTTTACGCACGCGAAAAAAAACCCCCCACTAAGGATAAAAAATAAAGCCATCGCAGCTCGTTCATCGTTGAATGATTTTTTTTTACCTGCAGATGTGATGTATCGCCTGTTCGAGGTGATGAAGCTCAATCTGTGAAGCCCCGAGCATCATGCCCGTGAAAATGATGAAGACGAGGAAACATCATGTGGGGTGACAGTGGGAGAGAGGCCTGCGCGTCGTGACACCATCAAATCCCCCATACTCACTTAGCCTGTGGACGAAGATGAGCTGGAATCCGCAGACACACCGCCGATGACGGGGTGTCCGTGTACCGTCAACAGTTCTTCAGAGGCTCCGTGTTCATATCCTCAGCATCAGCTGGTTACAGCAGCAACGTCGTCATTCCTCTGAGCGACGCTGCGCGCAGCCAATAGGAGCGCGGACGTCGGCGCGTTCCAGCGGTGGTTTTACATCCAGTGATGAAATAAAAACTTTGGCGTGGAAATGGATTCCAGCTCCATCGTTATAGTTCAGTCTCAAACGCGCCTCCTGTTCGTCACCCTCCAACACACTGACTGCACTCGGTCAGTGCTCCTCCATGATCCAAAGTGCTCCTTCTCTCTCCCTCCCACACCTCCTCTCCATGACTGCACTAATTGGCCAAAATCAGCGTGAATCCCCAGGATTCATGGGAACATTTTCTGAGGGACCTCCAGACCATCCTCTCAGCACATTGCTCTCACAGCTCTAACACAACATGTAAACCCTGGGTGTAATAATTGGGTTGTAAAGCTGTTGTGGTCAGTTTATTTAAATGACATGCTTCGTTTTATTTTCCCAGACACCAGACTATCTCCAATCCCACTTCCTCATTATGATGATTCAATCAATGTTTTGTTGACTAAGTGACATGGTTAGCATGTGCCCAGCACGCAATGTTTTGCCATATGATAGTTGTTGTTAAACAAAACTTGAGTGTTGAATGTTATATTGAGAGAAGTGCAGGGTCACAAAGATCAGATCAGATCAGATCTGAGATCAGACCAGACCAGACCCACAATGAAGGAGTTAGCTTAAAAGCAGGTCATCCCTTGGTGGGCTCAACCACTAACCTGTAGCATAACAGTCGAATGTCGTTCCCGCAGCGTCAGAGCTTCAGTCTTTTCAGCCAATCATAGCTTTCAATCCAATGAAAGATTGGATTTAGGCCAATCGCTGCATGGAATGACATCAGACAGCATCAATCACGACGCTGCTTTCCATTGTGAGATTTGATGACGCACAGATATTGGAGAAGAGTTGTTGGTCCCATAATGAGGAAATTATCCTAAAAGCTTGTCATATGGGTGGACCACCAACCTGTAGCTTAATAGCCAAGCTGTCACGTCCAATGTGATAGTGGATCGAGGCCAATCGCTATCTTTGGTTCGATCCCACCCATGGATAACATGTTTTTAAGTTTATCTTAAAAGCATGTTATCTCGTCTGATCTTGTATTTTATCATTTTATTTCTTTGAATTTAAATCTTGTAATATTTTGCTTATTGCCTACTTGACCTCTCAGTGGACAACAACCTGCACACTGTACATACATCAAATTGTGAATATCTACCTTTTATATTGCTAATATCTTAGTTTTTAGTGTTTATAATGTTTTATATTTTTTATGTGTATTAATGGTTGCACTACGACCTTACAGCAAATTCTGTGTGTGTGTTTACCTACATGGAAATAAACCTTGATGACCCTATTTATCACAATTATCAAGATAAATGTCACATTTGATCAATGTTACAAATTATTATTGCGTTTACGACAGATTTTTTCTTACAGGTTGAAGGTTGTGGTTTAAAACTTCTTTATGAGCAAAGAATGACAAACACTTGGTTTACAACAAAAACATATAACAAATCTGAGGTTGATCAATAATGTTGTATATTTCCTCAGTGTGCTTACACAATGGATCGAATCAACATATCATGTACATTGAACTTTTTTTATTTTGATGAAAATTATATTGAGGTAATTATTAAAACAGTTTTATCACCAAGCCAGTAATCAAAGTGATGCATTGAAATGATTGATTTATTAATTATTGAAAAAGTAAAAAAATATATATACTGAGAAAAAACATAGTTCACAACCGTTGATAATTATGACGATACATGTTCCACTTGGTAAAGAACAAAACATTTGACCAACCTGAGGTTGATCAGTTATGTGTTGCACCTCCTCAATGTGCTTACACAATGGATACGCATTATATCAATATATCAATATATATCATATTAATTTAATGAAAATTGAATTGCAATAATTACTGATATATTTTATTGCCCAGCCTTAATTTAAAGTAATTGATAGAAACGATTGATTGATTTAATGATGATTGTTCAGTCGATTATTATTTAAGTTATTTATCAAACTCAAACTTCTAAAATGAGGTAATTTGCAGCTTTTTCTCTGTTTTTTTTTACTCTCACTTGATAAACAGCAAAATCATTTTACAAATGTGAAGCTGTCACTGTGCTACACAGATAGCAACAGATCAATATATATCGAACTTCTGTTATTGTGATGAAAACCGTTTTGCTTGCATCATTGATCCTGCACCTTTGTGCCATGTCTTTATTCGTGTGGCACCAGCTTCTCCTGCAGGAGGAACAGGAAGCTTCAGATGTTCTGTTCCCACGTGACGTGCAGTTTAACATCAAACCACAACCGGACACTACATCCTGCTCATTAATTAATTCATCTGCCTCAGTGATGTGAGTGAGTGAGTGGTAGTGTGTGTGTGTGTGTGTGTGTGTGTGTGTGTGTGTGTGTGTGTGTGTTTTCCTCCAGTGGAAAAATATGAATTACAGCACTGCGTGGTGGACATGCGCGGAGCTGCAGCGAACATGGCGGCTTGCATCTGATAGAAAGTGAGGGATCTGCTGCTCGCACGGTTGGTACCACTCATGTCTGGTTCTTTTCACCCTAACGTTCGATACCCTCGCGTTTGCTTTGCAGGCTGCGGTGAGAATTGAGAATGGAGCGGACGTGCTCCTGCTGCCATGAGAGCGCACGGTGCAGGGATAGATGGCACAGCGTGTTTATCCAGCCTGGTGCGCACTGTGGCTCCTCTGCAGATCCTCTGTTTACTGGCTGTTTACACTGAGAGGAGACCTTTTCATTCCTGCTGCCTTGTATAGCATCGCGTTGTTGTTGTTGTTGTTGTTGTGATGGAACATTAGCGGTGTTTATAGTGAATAATCAGCACCGTCCCGCCCACTAAACGTGACCGTAACCCAAACCAAAATGCGTCACGCACTTTCCCTCACATTCAATGTTATTTTCTGCTTGTTCAGCCTCTTTTTCTTTCCCCCAGTCAGACACTCAACTGAGGAAGGCTCTCATCGATGCTTCCTGGCCCCTCATAGGTTTGATGTAAAGCGTTTCAAATATAGATAAGATAAATAATTTAATATCGAGGCTGTATATTGATGAAATAACATCTTAAGTGATCCTGGAGGTGACGCCCTGCATCAGCTCACACCCCTCAGCAGCACTAATGCTTGATTTATTAATTATTCCAACAGTCAATTATCATTTCAATTATTTATGAAGCAAACACATCTAAACATGTGCTGGCTCTAACTTCTAAAATGTTGTGATTTGCTGCTTCTCTGTTTATCTCACTGTAAATTTGATAAATGATTATTTTCAGACATCATCAAGCTGCAGGTTCTCAGTTGTGGAGAATTGAGAGACACTTGATAAACAGCAAAACATTTTACAAACCTCAGGGTGTTAAATCTCCTTTTACTCTGCTGCACAGTGGAGAAGCATTGTATCAATAGAATCGTTGTTATTGTGATAGAAATTACACTGCTGGTTATACTGTTTTATCACCAAGCCCTAATTTAAAATAATGGATTGAAACTATTGGAGGATTTATTGAATATTGTAACAGTTGATTATTAGTTAAGAAAAAAAAATCTCGACATGCGCTGGCTCAAACTTCTAAAATTTGAATTAGGTAAATCTGATGAATGATTTTGTTATTTTTCAGGTGACAAGTATTGATATCATCAAGCTGCAGGATCTCAGTTGTTTGTATGTTTTTGTCTATGAAATATCTTTACAATCATTCAGAAAAAGTTTGAAACCAAAAAATATTTAGTTTTACTGTCAAATATAAGAAAGACGAGCAGGAAGGCATCGCAATTTAACTGCAGCAAAACCTGTATGTGGCATTTTAGATAAAAGAATAAAGACTCTTGAACTAAGCTTTTGACATTTTCAGCATTTCATGACATAAATGATAAAGTTAATAA